CTCTCTCTCTCCCTCCCTCTCTCTCTCCCCCTCTTCCTCGCCCCCCTGCTTAAAACCTGCCCCCTGTCTACCCTGACTCCTTCCCCCTACTCAAACAACTGCACCATGCCACATTTAATGATCCTAGGATTACCAATCACCAAAACAACACCCCATGCTAACAAACTACAAAAAAAACATCGCCCATACCACTATCGCGAAACAATACGGACTCCTTTGAGATGGATTGACCACCGAATATGAACAAACTACTCAAAGCGTTCAATATTGTATGGTTTACAAACAGAAAAAACCACAACCGCAGATACGCATGATCCATAATATAAACCCCTCATACACCACCTTCACACACCAAACGTCACTATACATGGTAAGATATGCCCTCTCTGCTCTCGATCAACGAAACATGTATTGCTAAAGACTAGTCCCCTCATGTACTGCAGAAATATTTTGCGCAAAGCACTTGGTACCACGATCCACTGATTACCTTGCATGAAAGCATAAACAGAGATCGCTACCGCTAATAACCCTCGTACTCCTTAATTTCGCCCCATAAACCCGGACGTGCGAGGGGATCTCCGACCGAGACGCCCCATCCGGCCGTCGGCACAATATTTCTCCCATGCTCTACCGCCAGTGCAGTCACCAAAGCTCTCAAAATATGGAGCAATACATCCCGCCCATCTTCAGGAGGATCAATAGGAATCTCCGCGCCAATTCGACGCAGGAAGAAACGCAGAGAAACTAAAGCTCCACGTAGGTAAGCGACGTAGGTCCCCACACGAAGTACCATCTGACCGTTCAGGTTAATATCATAAGAACGCGTCATCGACCGACGTTCTGGAGATGCCTCCCAGGGCTCCACACCAATCGGAGAATCACGAAGATGCACGCGCTCCAAAATCAGGATCGTATTCTCCGACACGACGCCATGGTAAACCACGGTAAACTCCATCCTCCTGCTCCTCCTGGTGGAAGTCACCCACACCCGTCCAATCATCATAAGACCAACACCAATATGACTGCCTCCCGCTTCCACCCACTCCACAACCAATAATAGAAGAAATCAACCCCCCAGCGTAACCTCCTACCGAGAGAATCTAGAACCTCATGCGCACAACAACAAGCTCTGGTACACACTATCAGAGTATCCAACACAAAAACATACTACGCAAATCTTGCAACATCCTGCACAGCAGCCCAAAGAAAATCCCTACTCTTTTTATATTGTTACTGTAACCGCGCATGCCAGAAAACAGTTCCTGAAGTCTAACACCAACCGCAATTTTTTCTAGTTGAACTCCGAACCAAACTAGGAAATGTATGAATAACTAAAACAAAGCAAACCATAAAAACCTAACCTATAAACTACCACAAAATGCACGCGCATGCGACGCAACCATCCACGCATATACGGGTTCCTCCCCCACCCCTTCCACACCCTTTAACCCAAAATGGCCACCACGAATGTCTAATGATTCTAATCCCGAACGATGAAACACAAAAAATAATTCCTTTCAAATATTTGCGCTATTTCATAATTTAAATTTAAGACACAAAATTAAAACAAAAATAAATAAATAAATAAATAATAAAAAATAAAAAATATAAAATTAAAAATTAAAAATTAAAACCAAAAATAAAAAAATAAAAAAATAAAAAATAAAAAATAATATTAAAATATAGATATATAAAAATATATATATCAAATATAAAATAAAAATATAAAATATAAAATATAAAATATAAAATATAAAATGTAGATATAAATCATCCTTTTTAAAAAAAAAATAAAATAAAAATAAAAAATAAAAAATATATGTATAAAAAAAATAAAATAAAAAATTACCCTATGGTTATGATGCCGCTACGATACGCAGATAGCGAGCGACTGCACAGGAATAACTGTCATTCATCTATCCCTTACCTGAGCTCGCCATGGGGAATGACGTAGACAATGGGAGAATGGAGCGTGGGCGCGATGAGATGGCGGCCGCTCCGAAGGGGCACAACAATACACCTGCCATAGCCTGTTCTTGACCAACGACAACTTAGTAAATTCCTTGAGAGGAACGGGAGAGATATGGGGACGACCAATAGGCAAAACTGCGCACCGTACATATCAGAATTGTCACCCGATTAGGGGTTTTGCTCATTGATTATAGATACATAACACTGTTGTGTTACGACAACGGACGTAACCCTATCTGAGTGAAGAAATGGAGACGAACGAGGTGAGTACATCCATAAGCATCGACTCCCGGGAAAATAGATGATAGACTTCTCGCTGCATTTTAGCATTACCAGAGCTGTCGAAAAAATACCGACACAAGGCTTCAACCTTGACCTGGGCCTACCCACTCTAGCCAAGACCCATACGTCGGACGTAGTGTTGCTCGCGCCTTCCTACCCTTTAGACCTTTGATGCAGTATATTATAACACTATTAAGAGAAGAATGGGCGAATTGAAACTTTGTTATGCCGTTTGCGATTCGCTGCTTTCCGGCGAGAACGTTAAATAGGTGGGTCACGGTTTTTCGTGGAACTGGGTTCTCATCTTGATGATGGTCGTCGATGCATTGCCACAATTTGGTACCTGGTGATAATGATTTGTGTGGTTGGATTTAAAATACAAGTACACTAGATTTCGTTATTTTGGTGTTACGCCTACTCATCAGTGCCCGAACAGAGGTGGATAGGGTTTGAAAAGTAGATAGGTTTCTGAGAAGCTTACGTGTTTAATCATGTATATTTTCTGATTAGCCCTGGCCTAGTTAGAGGAATCAACGGCTGAATCATTTTTTTAATTGGCTGGACGCTCGTCTTTCGATTGGTTGAGTATTCCATCGAAACTAGGATGGTGATTGAAATAGAGCTTAGCGCACTGATCCGCTGCGACTGGATAGCTCTGGCTGGGTGTGCCTCACCCAACCTCGTCTGGCCGCGGATTTTGATGAAAGCGACGCACAACCCTGTTTTCGGTCATAAAAAATATAAATTTAAAAATAATCTTAAAATAATCTCGGCTCAACTAAGAATGAATCCCCTCTCAGCCCCTCTCCCCCCAAAATAGCAGAATTAGATACTCTTCCTTCATACGGATCCTGCTATACTACATACTCCCTTTAGACAACCCAATAATGCAAGGATCTTCTTAATTTGAAAGTTGGATAAAGCAATAATAATAATAAAAATAACAATAAAAAATATTTAAAATATAAACTCACAATTCTCATATCCTTTTTAATTTATACTTATACAAAAACCAATTTACTTCACAAAGAAATAATACGTACGATAAAAAATGCCTGCCAATTTTATAATTACCCCGAACATCACGACACTAACAAGTAGAACCAAAAAATACATGAACAGCCACGATTCAATAGGCCAATATAATCCCTAAGTATCCTAGTTACTAACAATAGGGATCGCAGACCCAACAAACATTTTTCTGTCAATACAACAACACACACATAACTAAGCCCAAGCTGCACATAACACTGCATCAACCTGAACCTGCTCCTTAGTCAGACCTAGCACTATAGATTCCTCCCAACTGCTAACCTTTACTATAGCAAATCTCCCTCCAAGAATGTCCTCACAATAAGATCCCATAACACGGAAACTTAAGAAACACAAGACCTATGAGCTATCCAACCCCCTGAAAAAACCATCCCTACCAACACCGATTAACGATTACCCCCACATACAAAATAAAACAACAATAACAACACAACAGACTACACATGAATAAGTAATTTTTTAATACGCCATATTAACATTAAACCAGTAACTCGCCTTTTAATTAAAATCTCTCCAAAACCCCTGACCAATCAAAAACCACCCCCTTCTACACAAACATCACATCCTAACCCACACGTTTGTCCATACCCCCTTTTTTTTTAAGAAAAAACACCATGTACTAACAATGCGCTCTAATCCGTCACATGCAAGATGAATCAGAAGCCAACAAGGGATGGCATCACGAGCTGGCTGAGAAAGCCCAGTTGTTCATCCACCTCACACCCCTAAGCGTGCATTCGCAGACTGCCATGCTAGCCCTCCCGGAGCAAGTACTTAATCAAGTACATGAAACCAGCAACGCGCAAGCCCCCTTCCTCATTGAGAACCTGCACTTCTCAGATTGGGCGATCATTGTTGCCAAGTGGCAAACACTCAGAGGAGAGGAGGGACCCATCATTCAAACTTATGTCAAGGACATTGTCGCCATTCTCAAGCAAGCAGCACTGCAGAACCGGGAAATGGACAAGATCGTCGCAAAAACGGAGAAGGTCATCCTTGACTTGTATGGCTTCAGCTCTGTGCATCTGAATGCCACAGGTGATGTCAACACCACTGACAACACTGACGAGCACAGACTACAAGTCATCGCACACCTCAACCCTTCACAAGCCGAAAAAGATTGGTATTTGAAGAGGCGGGCGGAGCGACAGCAACAAGCAGCCCAGCCTGCTGTCGCCACGCCCACCCCACGCAAAACCAACTTCTTCAGAATGGCGTCAGATGCACCATTCATACCAGTCCAAACACCCAGGTGGATTGAAAGCATCAGCAACAGATATGACAACAGGCTCTGGATGGTTGACTCCTTCAATCACACTGCCCCCATCACCATCCAAGCATATGCATCATTGGCTAACCTGTCGGAAGCGGATCTTGCCGAATGCAGAGAAGAGGCCCAAAAAGCCATCATCCGCAGAACAGCAATCGACTCCAACTTCCCGATCCTCGGACCTCTTGACAGCTCCAAATGTCCCAACTGCCACCCACTGCTCCACCAGAAGGCGGTGCAGAAGCCTACTGCCGAGCTCCATGAGTTCAAGAAACTATGGAACTCCGGTAGACCTTATCTGAAGTGCAATTGCCCCATGCATGGAGGTGTGATCACATGGTTTGATCACATGCTATGGTTCTACATAGCAAACCTCGATATCTTTGAGGCTGATGTTCCCCCTGATATGATGAGGATGATGGAACTTACTGACAAACTGCAGAATGAATGGAAAAAACCTGTTAAGCTGCAAGTCACCTTCCTCTACATGCGCATGCACATGATGAACCTGACGCATCTGCTGGTTGCTAACCCTCAATCCACCACTAACCAACTTGCGGATAGAGAACCATACAGGGAAATGCCGCTGGCCAAGAAATTCTTGGCTACTCTGCTGCCTGCTGCACACCAAACCCAAGACCCTCCACCTTCACTCACCAAGCGCAAGAACCACCCAACACCTGACATCATCCAATGCAGTCGCAACAGGCAACCCACCAACACGCTCACCACCCCAACCCATGTCCCTTCACACACACCCATACAACCAATAGCCCACATTGAACCCACCCATGCACCTGCAAACTCCGCCCTCCCTAACAACACGCACACTCACCATGCTGCACAACCGCCACCACTGACTGCACAACCACAACATACTACCCCTACCATTGCACGCACACCCTCCCACCCAATGCCCAGCATAGCACTGCACAATACATGAAGAGCAAAAAGAAACAACACTGCCCAAACCACAAAAAGATTGCAAAAGGGCAGATGGCAGAAACGCAAGGAAAAGCTCATGGCAGCAAGAAGGGCGCAGCTGCAACAGCAGCCAAACAACGCACAGCAAGCCCCGCATCAGCCACCTCTCCAAACCACCAACCTGCGCAGCACAAATGCACAGCAACCAAATCAACACGAACACCTGCAAGCATCGCACCCACAACCCCGCAACTCCCAACAGCCCACTGCACTGACAACACGCGATCCTCAGCAACCCATCAGCTCACAGCCTCAAACATCACAGCATAATCTGCAGGCCCAATAGTTCCTGCAAACTGTTCTTGCAACAGCACAGCAACTCCCCGCACCTGCACCCGCCAACACCCGATCTTCACCGGCACCCGCACTGTCACAGAACGTACCACGGTCCACAAGCTGGCTTCCCCCCATCCACCAATTCCTCGCACACCACGCCCAACAACAGGCAAATCGATCAACATCCCCCCCTCCGCAAGGTTCCCGGCGTCACAACCCCATTGTCCTTGGTTCCCCATCCCCTGACAAACCCCCCAGAGCGCACAACGACATCAGTTTACTTCTCCAGCAGTATGATGTCGAGTGCTCGCTAATTGATGCAAACCTTGACGACAGCTACTCGACTAACGTAGTCTAGGAAACCCCTGCGCCACAAACCACTAACAAAAACACCAGGAGGAACCTTGTCAGCGACTACAGCTGCAACCCACTGTCACTCACTGATCTCTGAATCTACGCAGATACCCATCGCTCATGACATGGCTTTGCGGCTCTGAGAGACTATATAAGACGTCATGGCCAATACCCAGGAGGACAACCCTCTTCCACGATTGCATGGGATGCGAGTGTGCCGACAATACAGACCTGGCGACTACAGGAGCAGCAGCAACAAGAAAAAGAGACCTCCAACCAGCAAGCACTCCCAAGACCCACAGAAGATCCTACTGAATGACCAAGGGGCCTGCTACCACTGCAATGCCTTTTAAAGATTCAGTAACCTCCAGACTTCAGGCGATGATTCAGTCTAGCAACATAGCTCAACAAGCACAGCCTCGTTGCAAGCTAAGCTAGCCCCCACTCCAAGTACGAACATGTTTAGCAAGTTCCAGGATAAGAATAGCTCACATGCCAGCTATGGTCTGACTCGACTGTTCCTCTCGGTCATCCCTGAGCAAGCAGAAGTCTCCCTCTTAGACCAGAAAGTGCATGACGGTATTCGGTAGGATAAACTTCAACCCCTGAACTCTTACACCTCCCCAATTTCTTATTTATTATCATCATTATTTTTAATAATTATTCAGCTGGTTCCATGTAATAATCGCCTCCGTGTAAAATTCTACCACTTGATTGGCCAAATCTCAACTGGTTCTTCAGAAATCGGCAGACTGAATCCCAAATCTGACTTCACCCTGAAGAAGCTTCTGGCCCCAAAATAAAACGTGGAAACTCCGCCCCGAATGTTGCTTGAGTTTTAAATAAATATACAAGGACCATGGTTCGACAGATGGCCCAGGCGCCCGAACAGAAGGATATTCATCTCTGATCTGTGTCATATTGAATGATATCCGTATGTTTATTTTTACTTTTTATTTTATTAATTTTTCGTGTACTCGCATGCTAACCTCCCTGCCCTTTGCCTGAATGTGCTCATTAGCAGAGAACACCCTTCATATAACCCCCCACTCTACACAGTGAAGTCCTCATACCCCGGCCTCCATGCTCCTTCCAGCAATAGACGTCTCCCAGACCTTCCTGACTCTAATGCTCTCCCGAACGCCCTCTGTCACCCTTCCACCACACCTCTTCCTCAACCATCCCTGCATACACTCTGTAGAAGTATCCCCAACCACACACTCGCACACACATCTTCCTATGCCATAAATCCGTCCATCGGCCTCAGCCGGGAACCTGAAAATTACGTGCCTACATTCTTACATATCCATCCATTGCCCCCCTCACCAACTGCAAACTAAACATAGCTATCACTACATAACAGCAATATCCCTAGGCTACCATTAGATAATAAAATAAGTAGATCATTACAATAATGCTGATACCTAGGAACAACCACACCACTACACCATCTACCTACTATTCGAGGTCTGAGCAAGGAAAGTCAGTCCCTGATAATAGACTACGGAGTGAGGAATGGAATAGAATAGAGGGTGTGACCTTGAATGTACTTATCCATTTGATAACTGTTTATGTTAAGACATCTGCTTTCCTGACAATTGCCAATAGTAGCTCCTGAATCCCTTTCTTAAGACTAAAGCTGATTGTTTCAGAAGACCTTATGGCCAACTAGGATAGCCACCGACATGTACGAAGTAGACCTTTTTCACTCACCTTTTTCCTCTCTCCTGCTCCTCCCCTCTTGCCAAAAACAACACATGACCCCAAATGCCCCACCTACATTCCATATCCTTCTTACCTCCTCCCACCCAACCAACCGTTTATTCACGACTGTACAACCCCACCCTTGTTCCTCCTTCTAAACCCCCCCCATGCATAAAGCTGGCGCAAACCATCTCTACGGCACCTCTCCTTCCCAGCAATCCCCCCACCCCGCAAGCCTTTAACTTGCCAAACTTTTTCTACCAAGAAATCTCTCTGCACATTCTTACTGCCTCAACCCCTTGCTCTACGCACACCCTTCGACCTTTCCTCTTGCCTACTCAATGGACCCTGCCCTCTATCTAATGTTTGTTCCTGCGCACACACTCCCTCTGAAAAAAAAAAACCAGAAGAACCCCCCTCCCCCACAATCAGTAATTGAATTCCTGTACAGCACCAATAAAAACAACCATATACACAGGCATTAATGGGTTACATAAAAAACCTAGCAACTAACCCCGAAACTTTTGCATGCAGGTACCCCACTGAAGACTCCAACGTCTACCACATGGACGACTTGGCTGACGCAATCACAAGGAACAAACCAAACACATAATACATCTGCACTACCATAACAGGCTCTTTGAAGGAATCAAACCAAGAACACTATTCCAAACACTCATCAAAAAACACATTCCTCAAACACTTAACTCTCTCGATCATTTCACGTTTGGATGGACATATGACAATCACATGGCACGAGCACTATACAAACCAGCAACAGTTTTTCATAACTTTGAACTAAATAAATGGTATGAAGAACAAAAGGACAAGTGTTACTGCCAACAGCACCGGTTTGAACAATTTACCAAGACCGCAGCCGAAGGACTCATGCCAGATCATATGCCCCCACATGTCATCACCATGAACATGGGTATCTTCACAAACCCCCAACTCAGGACGATGATTGAAGCAGGAATGAACCACATACCCCCAACACAAAACAACCCTCAATCAATCCACCATGAACGCCACCGAGCATGGGACGAAGTAATAAAAAAACTCAGATCAGAACATGCAATCCAGCAACAACAAGTAGACGCGGCCACACGAGAATTACATGAGATTTTAACAAACAATCTAAAACGATTCCCAAAGAACAACGCTACTAGTATACACAACCATGCCATACACAAACAAATAGAATATATGACCCACAACTTCTACATAACCGGAGTTGATAAAGCACCCAACACACCCACTGTCTGCTGCATAAATCTACTCAGATTCCTGGCGCTTCAACGCCTCTCAGGACCAGACTTCACACCCACTCAACAAAGAAAAGGTGAACTCATATACTTCCTCACTCAAAAACTCACTACACGTTTTTCAATGATTCCCATTGGCAAACCAGATATGCCCTACCTCTTCGCCACATACAAGAACCACAAAAACAACTTCCGATGGCTTACAAATGCTGCTGACGTACTCCTCTCACCACTTGCAGATGCATGCTCTAAAATCCTAAAAAAACTTCAAGAACCCATCCAAGAACACTGTGGATAGCTCACTGAACTCACATTGCAAAAAACAGGACACACAGTACCATTCTGGTGGATAATTGATTCCATAGCAGACTACATATATAATATCCCCAACAAGGTACACAACCTATTTACAGCCGACATAATCCGCTGTTATGAAATCATCACCATAGACCAATCACCAGATGGACTACCCAATGTCATACGCTTCTTCGTCAAACTGACATCTACTGCTGCCAAAAAAACATACGGCACCAATGCTACACTACACTATGCATACAGAACAAATCAAGAGCCACACACAATAGAATGCTCATGGTCTGCACACCCTGACCAAACCAAAACTAAATTTTCAGCCAAAGACATAATACAAATGAACACATGGCTTGTCAACAACGCTCACACATCGCTTGGGGATCACACATGGAGACAAACCCTTGGCATACCCATGGGTGTTAGCTGCTCCCCCATATGGTGCAACCTGTACTTCTTCATGTTCGAATATAAATTTATGAAGAAACTCACACACAACAGAAACCAGCACCTCCTACCACTCTTTGCCCACACTTTTAGATACTTTGATGACCTACATACAATCAATAACAACCAAATCACAAAATTCCCGAACCCAAACATCACAAGCCCCAGAAGCACATACTATATATACCCACTAAAATATGTAACAATAAACGACCAAACAACATACACCCCCACCATAGGTCACGAACCCATTGGAACAGAATGCAACTTCCTAAATGTAACCATCAAAGTCACCAATGCGCAAGAAGTACTATACTCCACCCACAAATTCGATAAAAAAAACCTTCTCAACTTCAATATCACCAGACTCCTCAAATACAACTCAAACAAACCAATAATGCAATCAATAAAAATATTAATCCCACAAATAGTCACTATAATGACTATTGAAAATAACAGCATGAATGCAGCCACACAAATTCTCAAACTAATAGACATAATGACTCAAAATGACTTTCCATCAAGCAGATGCCTGTGCCTAACAATTGACATCCTAAAACATCATGATCAATACCAACCATTCAGATGCTCAACTCAACAAACACTTGATCTCTTAAATGAACAAATTAGTCAACAACGTGTGTGTGGCCAGTCAAACTGACTGGCTGGTACGGATGGAGTACCTTAACCCATGAGAGGGACAAGTTCACCATCCGCACTTGATCCCCCTCATGACCCCCATCACGTGGGAACGAGGGAGGGACACACACACACACACACACACATACACAAATATACACACACACACACACACTCATACTTTTTTTATCCCCTCTTCTTCTCATCACCATACAAACCACCCTCCCAAAAAAATAATAATAATCATACACCTTCACACACACACACATAAGCACTGTCCTACAGATAAACGTATAAAAAAATAAACACACCTTCATGCATGTACATAACTGACCCTGCACATATATATAACCCCCCAAAAAAAAAGAAGCGTGTCACGTACCCTCGGCGCATAGCCGACTATTGTACCCCACATATGCGAATTGCAACAGCCTACAAAATAAAAAAAATTAATATGCTCTCACAAAAAACAAAACCAAAACGACACCACCAAAACATGGCGCCACTGCACCATACACCAAAACAAAGCTACCATGATTCAAAAACAAAAACAAAAATAATAAAAAAAAGAAGAGAGAAACACTAACAA